GACTCTCAGGCTGTGTGTGTGGGGTTCTCAATGGACTCTCAGGCTGTGGGGGTAGGTTCTCAGACAGACTTTTAGGTCTATCTGCTGGGGACTTCATTGGCGTGATTTCTAATGTTGGTCACCACCTTGGTGTATTGTCTGTCAACATGAGGAAGTCAGGAAGGGTCTGTCATGGGAGAATGTTGCTGACCCAGAATTTGGAGTCCTTGGCGTTTTTGTTGGTTTGTTTTGTTTCTGTACCGTGTTTTGCAGTTCTGGGGTGGAACCCAGGGCATTGTACGTGTCAGGCATTTCCCACTGCTCTGAATCCTTGGCCATTCTTGCCGCATTAGTTGTACATTTTCTTAGCAGTTTTTATTTTTGTGTTCAGACAGTTTCATTTGGCATGTATTATAGTCCTGTAAAGTAAGCTTAGAGGCACACACACACACACACACAAAAACCCCTGCATCATCTGAGTTTGCATCCTATATGTTCAAAATGAATATTGAAATGACACAAATAGGACAAAGCCAGCCAGATCGGAGCAACCGTGCAGAAAAGATGTCCTAGGCCAAACCTGCAGAGCGTCCCTAGGTGCCAGGGAGATTCCGTACTGAGGTCCTTCCCTGCCTAAACTCCACCTCATCCCTGAGTTATGAGGGTGGGGCTGTGGGTTGAACACTCCTAATCTGGAAATCGGAAATGATCCCAAATCTGCAACTTCCTGAGTGCTGATGTGATAACAAGCAGGATGTTCTACACCTAGCCTCATGTGGTCTGTCGCAGTCGGAACACAAAGAACCTAAAATCAATCGTTGTCTAAAATTATAATCTCCAGGAAATCTGTATAATGGTATGTGAAGCACAAATGGAATTTTGTCTTCAGACTTGAGTCCGGTCCTCAGGACTTCTCATTTTTTATGTAAAAATTTTTAAGTGCCCAGTTGTGGTGTCATATGCCTGTAATTTCATCACCCAGGAGGCAGAGGCAAGTGGTCACAATAGTACTATGCTAATTCCTCATGCCCACCCCCCAAAAAAAGAAAAAATGGGAAAAAAAAACCAAACAAACCCTGAAGTCAAAATCTCAAGCATTTTGGTTTAAATAAAGGTACTCAGAGTGCCTCTGTTTTGTTTTCTTGTTTTGATTTTGTTTTTTTTTGGGGGGGGGTTTCAAGGCAGGGTTTCTCTGTGTAGACTTGGCTGTCCTGGACTAACTTTGTAGACCAGGCTGGCCTCGAACTCACGGCGACCTGCCTGCCTCTGCCTCCCTGAGTGCTGGGATCAATGGCATGTGCCACCACCCCTGGCTTTGCCTCTGTTTTTTATAGCAGGGGAAACCAGGGCGCATTTACAAGACTTCACAGTCAAATGGTGCACATGACTAACCGCTGTCCTAGACTAACTCACCATAAGAAGGCAAGGGATGTTGTTAGTGTTACTGTGTGGGCCCTCCCCCTACAGCCCCCCAGAATTCTCACCAGCACCTTGTAGGGGAGCAAGGTAACTTGCCTAAGGCCGCGGGGGCACTGACTGAACCAGGACGCTTGCTGATCTCTTACTGCTGCGTTGGGGGCCTCACACAGCACACATCTTAAGAAAACCCCTTTGTCTTCCAGAACCTGGCAGTTGGGGCAGGAGCTGTTGGATCTTTGCAGCTGACTTACATCTCCAAGGTAACGTTGGTTTGGCGTGCTGGGAAGCCACGTTCTTGAAGCGGGTTTAATGGCCAAGCAGGAGGAAGTTCTGCATCCCGGAGGTGTAAGCCTTTGGGAGACTTCATGGCCATTACCATGTTTCCCTTTCCCGGGCAGCCTGTGGAAGGTCTGCTGTCTTGCGGTGGTGATCGGCAGTGGGGAGGGTGCCCACAGCCTCTTACTCTTTGGATGAGCCAGCTAGTCACCCCTCCAGACCTACGGGAATGTTTGAGATACTCTCTAAGAGAAAAGGTTTACTTTGGCTCACTGTGTTCGAGGTCTGAGTCGTGATTTTGGGGCAGCACGATATGTCACAGGTAACAGAGAGCAGCTTCTTCTTACCTCATGGCTAGGAAGCAAATTATAGAGGGGCCGGGCACCTCTAATGTCTCCTGAGGGTATCCCTGATCCCTTAAGGACCTTTCATGTAGTCCCACCTGAAAGTTCAGCTATTACCGCTGGCCTTTGGGAGGTGTTTCTTTCTCTCTTTTCTCTTCTCTTCTCTTCTCTTCTCTTCTTTTCTTTTCTGTTCTTTCCTTTCCTTTCCTTTCCTTTCCTTTCCTTTCCTTTCCTTTCCT